AGTTCCACACCGTGGGCCCACAAATTGATTCTTGCGGACACCCTTTTCTCACATCTTTCTACACAATATCATTCTCACTAGTCGCACATACCTTTCTATTCCTAAAATAGCTTTCCCACATCGCTAAGTCATCACATTCAATCTCATGCATTCTATCTAGCACAGCTGCCCATTATCAACCCCAATATTATCAAACGCGCCCTGAAAGTCTACAAACACACTCATTACTTACTTCTTTCCTGACGGATAGCAGGCACATCGACCGATACGATCTGGGATCCGTCCTTACCTTCTCCGAGGACTTTAACAATACCCTTTTTCCAATCACTCGGGAACACACTCTTTCGCAAACACTCATCATATAACACTTTTCATTCGCACAGGTACAGCCATCCAGACTCTCTTAACCATTTCACTCCATCCATTCCACGCACATTCTTCCACGCACAGCTCGCGCAATCTCATCCCACTCAAATTCTTTGTCGCCATACGACCTCGTACTCGACTCATTCTCACATAGCATCGCACTCTCAGGAAAGAATTCATCCAACAAAACATTTATAGTCTCTTTCCACCTAACCATCATCCTTTTATCTACACTCATCGCACTCATTACATCCGTCTTCTTCTTCCCCCTACAGACTTTGTACACCATACTCCACGGATCACTATTCTCTTCTTTTCCAATGAACTCCCTCCAATCATTTTCTTTCTGCTGCCTTCCAAAGATCACATCATTCACATCACTAATCCAATCCATCAATTTCTCAATCTTCTGTTCCAACTCTAATTCAACGAACTCATCCATACTTGTCTCACCCGCTCTCTTCTCAATCATTCTTGCATAATCGCTCCAATCAACATTACTCTTTCTCTTCCATCTAAGCACGCTATCTTCCAATCCTACCCTTTCATCTCATGATACACCAATCATTATCACATTATGATCACTTACACACCAATCATTCTCAATTCTCCACCCACACTCTAAACCCATCCATTCATCATTACCCAGACTTACATCAATGTCACTCTCACCTGCAGGTCCACTATACGTATACTGTTCGCTCGGTACATTCAACACATACATTTCACATTTAGACATAAATTGAACAATTTTCTCACTTCTTAATTCTCTCACTTCTACCCACATATGTGCTAAAACATGCATCCGATACAGCGCTCCCATCTAAACACATTAGAAGGGGCTTCCCCCTTACTATGTTCATAATTTTCCTCATATACTCAATCATAGGTTTCACAGGCATACTAAACTGACAATACACAGAGCACACATACATCTCACAATTTTCCACTTTCATCCATATATATATTCCGTGCTCCTCCATGCCAACACATTCACATTCTTTTCCTTCACTACATTCCCCAAATCACATATCACACCATAAGCGTACTGGCAATTCAATTGCAGTATATTAAACCTCTTACTAGCCATTGTCGATATGTTCTCTCATACGTTCAACCACACTCGCATACTCTTGGCACTCTTTCGCTAGTACAGAGTGACCCGAAGGCCGCCCCGTCCGCAAGCAGTGTCTGCAACATTCTTTCTTCCTACATTCTCTCGCCATGTGAGCCATCCTCCGCACGTTCCACATACTTTTCCCACTTTGCACTCTTTACTCATATGCCCATATCCATAACACGAGTAGCATCGGAGCACACTTTCATACACTTTTACTTTGAAAGCACTCCACTCTATATATATTCTCCCTTCATATACTAATTTATTACATATACTCTTACTCACTTTCATCACAACATTCTCTAAGGTCACACCCTTCTTTCCATCTCTATTCACTATTCTCACACGTTCTTCAAATTCATTCTTCAACACTCCTTCAAATTCCTTGCATACATTTCACCCAGAAATTCTTTTTCACCTATTTCATTTGGAACATCAAACACTAACCTTTGGGCCAATCTTCCGGGGCAGCTGAATCGTCAAACCCACACTTTCGTACCGTTTACTTTTACACAGAGCTTTTCTCTCCTTTTCATTCGCAGTTTCAATCACCACACCATTTCTAATCTTCCGTATCGCTTTCACCCTCTGTTGCACCTGTTCGCTACTCATTCTCTCATCCACACCCTTCCACCACATCGTAACTCTTTTTCTCAGGCACTCTCGCATCAAGTTTAACTTTCATACTGTCACTCGGTTGATTTACATCCATACCACCACTCGCAAGACCAAACACACCTATCCTTTTATACACAGCCAAGGCACCTTTCATTTCTCATTTTTACATAACAATTTACTCAGGACACTATCATACTTGCTAGTCTTTTTTATTATAACTTCATACGCAGACTTGTTCACTTTCGCACTCTCACCCAATATAAACACCCAGTTGCTCCCCAATCTTTCTCACCTCATTCACACATTCATCCGCACTTCCATCACTCATTCTCACGACTGTCATCCCCACTTCCAATTCTCCTCTTCCTCTTCCAATCTCACGCTTTCACACATTTCACTCTCGGTCTCCTTCGCACTGGAGACCGATTGGCGCCACCGCCCTTTGTGCGCTTCTTCTTCCTTTTCTTCTTCTCTTTTTTTTTTAATTTTTTGTTCGTTATTGTTTTTATTTATGCTTGTTTTATTTGTTATTTTAGAATCACTCATTTGGTTCCCACGAGTAGAGACGAAACTTATGTCATCCCCCCCCCCGGGTAACGCCCTTTCCGGGATGGAAAGGCTCTATACAACAGGGGGTGCCAGGTGCTCTGAGGTTAGTCGTTTTCGATTCGACTTTCCCCCAGCTATGCACTTATCGTCACGCACCATAACTTGAGTTACATTTTTTATAGAGGTTGCCTTCCACGCGATTCAGGCGATTAAGTCAAGGCCCCTGGCCTAACGAAACATGACTACTTGGTTACGATATGATCTGCCAGCAGTGATGACACCCCTCCGACCAGTGTACATCCGCACAACTCTGAGGGGCAGGCGGGCATATAGTGCGCTCTTAAACCTCGTCCAAGGACGAGGAGCCCCCTCACCACGACAAAGCGCACCACGAGGGGGGGGGGCGGTCAAGTGAGGGAGCATCTGGAAGTATTCCATCGCCTCCTTCATCCAACCTCAGCGGAGGGTGTTAAATGCGTTGACAATGTCCAATGACACCGCTACGACCATCCTTCCCTCCTGCGCGTTGGCCTTCACGAAAGCCTTACCTGGCAGATCGCATCCACCGTGGAGCGGCCCCCGCGGAAGCCATACTGTTTCTCGGAGAAACCCACGCTTCCCTCCCGATGCAGGCCGCGATAATCCTCTCAAACAATTTGCCCGCCTCGTCCAGCAGGCAGATCGGACGGTAGCCCGTCGGAGTGTCCTCAGGAAGACGAGCCTAGCACTCTTTCACAACCGGGGGAACCGGCCGCACCTGAGGCATTCCGTAAAGAATTGCCTCAAGTCCCCCCCAACGCATCAGCGGCCAATGCCCAGGCCCTACCGGGTATCCCATCGGGACCCGGTGCTCTGACTGGGTCCCTTAGCCTTCGGAAGGCCAGGGCTATCTCCCCCTCTGTGACCCCCAGCTTATCCCTCCACTCGTATGTGGGGATGACATACGCCGGGACATTCGCACTTTGAATTGCGGGGAAGAGTCCCGCCACCAGCCCACGAACTGGGGTCAAGGGTCTCCACTATGGGGGAGCCGCCCGCGCAAAGTCTCTTCAGAACTATTCTATACAGTCTCCCCCACGAATCCCTGTCCAGGGAGGAGACAAGCTTCTTTCAACCCGCCTTGATCGAGCACCGCAGCTCCTTCCGTGCGACTCGGAGAGTAATGTAGTGGTATTCGGTCTCCTCTTCAAAGTCCCTATTCGCCTTGGCCCTAAGGTAGGCACGCCAAAGAGCCACCTCAAGGCCGCATCTTTCCCGACCATCAGTACGCCGTCCTACGGGTCAGCGGGGGGCGATGGCGGAGCATCGAGGCATCGCACGCTCTCCACATGACGTCGCGCAGCCTCTCCGCCTCGCCATTTCGCTTCCGCCTTGTTCTCCGACAGGAAAGGCCTCACTCCACGTGGGCCGTAAATGTATCCACGCAGAGCGAAGGCCCAGCTCCTCGATGTGGACCGCCCGGTGCGAGGGTTGGGTCCAGCCTCGCCATCCTGCCCGAGACGAAAGGTGATGTATTTGTGATCCGAGAGAGTCTCCGCACCACGCACCACCTGCCAGCCCCGGAGTCTCCGCGATAGCGCCGGGGAGGCCCATGTAAGATCGATGATCGAGCCCCCCCCCCCCTCCCAGCACGTCTCGAAGGTGTGTTCTTTTCACCTATATTGGCGAGGCAAAGCCCAAGCCCGTCGGCCCACTCCTCCACCAGCCTTCCCCTGGCATCCATCTGTGGGGAATCCCAGCACCGCGACCAGGCGTTGAAGTCCCCCGCAATTAATACCCCCACCGAACGCTGCCCCCTGATGACGCCCGCAACAATGTCCAGCGCAGCTTCATAATCCGCCAAGTTCCATCTTGGCGGCAGATAGCAGACTACCACTCAGACGGACCTCCGCTTCACAACCATAAAGGCCCTTTCCTCGGAGAGCTTCCGACAGGGAGGCTGTTTTCCGCTCCCCATCCCCCAGATGACCGCGACGGAGCCACAACCGTTGGTCGTCCAATTTGGACGGCCGTCGGGTATTCGATCGATGGCTCCGCCACGATTCCCAACTCTAGGCCGCATTCCGCGAGAGAGTGCAGGAATAAGTCCTACGCCTCGCGACCGCGGCCCAGATTCGCCTGGAGGATGCCAAACGCCATCTATTCCTGAAGCATATGAGCCTCCTCTGCGGCAATCTCCATCAGCGCTACCCCCTGGGACGTAGGGGTACTCTCCCCCTCGGTGATATGGGGAAGCTCCAGTCTCGGTGAGGGAACTCGCCCGACAGGCACCACCGGCCTAGCCCAGTTCCGAGTGAGCAGACAGGCCTTGCTCCCTGTGCAGTGGTTCAGAGTTCTCTTTCCCGCGTTACCGACACGATAGGCAGCATGCCTCCGCCACGTAACTGCGAGCTGTATGGCCCGGGGCACCGCAGCGGTAGCAGCAGCCACTGTGGTCCATTTTGCTAGGACACACCGCCTTCACGTGCTCAATCCCCAGGCACCTAGAACATTGCACCAAAACTGACCCGAGTCCATCTCGGGTCGCGCGTATAACCCCTATTCTCACGGAGTCTCGCGCGCAAGCGCCTACCTCCGCGATCCTCTCCGCCACCTCCTCGAGGGAGATGGAGTTGACCAGATCCCACACCCAGACGTCCACCATCTTTTGGAGTCTCGCAATTTTGATCCCTTCCTGGTCTCGGAGATCCTCCCCGAGTTTTTCGGCCAGCAAATCGGTTCTGGCAGAATCGCTCCCCCCCATCCGGGATTTTTAGAACCAGGGCCCCGGTAACATCGCATTTAGTGCGAAGATCACCGACCCCAATCTCCCCCAGTTTTACTCTCTCTCTCGCTCTCCTCGGCATACGTGCCCAGCGGGCACGTTATTGAAACTGCTGCCGCCTTAGGAGACCGCAGCTTTGGGGGGCTCTTTCGATCTGCCGCCGCCACTGTGCCGCTTTCTCGCGGGGTGAAGGGGTTCGCTCTCCTTCGATGCAGTGGTTCCTTTTGGCTATCTCTGTTCTCGGTTGCAAGCAAAACATCAAGCATAAAGTACACTCAACCGCAGTCCTGAAAAAGAAACCCGCACAAGGCAGCAACCGACAGAAAAATAATCTAATTATGGAGCGACAAAATAACACGTGAGCAATATATTCATGCAAAAGAAACAGAGCGAAGAGAGAGAAAGGGGGGAGAGGGAGAGGTCGAGAAAGGGGGAGAGAGATGTAATGAATGAATAAACGAATAATCTTTATTTAGCTTCCTCAGCTATTTTTCTACAGCTGTAACATAATACATACATTTAGCAAATAATAATTGATTTAATAACAATATTATCATATATATATATATAT